GTCTAATGCATTGCAATTCCAGGATCCTCATGACCCTTATTATGGGTCTGAGTTGTCATCATTAGCCAGGAGTTAGGAGAACTAGAGAGCAAGATACCCTGTACAATTAGCTTGTTTATCACGTGGTTATTGGGTTGTTTTGTTAGCATGCACGGACCCTCACTCAGGATGTAAATCTCGAGTTTTTTAGTTTTTTTTGCATCAGATTTTAATTGCGTATGCAGCTATCTAGCTATGATACAATATCAGAGAAAAGTACAGAAAAGATGACTCAGTTTATAATAGGAGCACTCATGCCTCGGATTTCATTTGCAAGTACCACTGCGAAGTTATGGTGGCTTTTTCTTCACCCCAAGTCAACCCTCATCCGTGAATACCCACCCAGGGGAACGTCTCATAAACCCTGAGTTATCCAGACATGCCTCCTTCATCCTTAAACTTTTCTCCGCGCGATATGTGATCTGAGGTGTCTCCTTCCCAATTGGAGTAGGTGCCCAGGCTACTCAAACCATACCAGAGAACACCACCAGGAGGCGGACCACAACACCTTCCATCGTTGGCTTGTGTTTATAGTGTCAGCTGCACTCTCACAAGCGAAGTCTTGGCGCGCACAAAGCTCAATTCTTAAAACTCTTTCCAAAATTCGAAATTTCACGCCCGTCGAGAATGTATCCCTCTTCTGCATCATCTTGTAAACTTGTCCTGATCCATCTCACGTCCGTCCCAAAGAGCTATCTCCCAAAATTGTGCTCCACGCTTTGCTTCCTCCGTCGGGTGTAAATATCGGCGTGGGCGTGTATTTGGTGACCGGCTGAGGCCAGAGAAAGTCGACGAGAGGTGTGGTCATTGAAACGAGGATGTACTAGGTCGTACTTGTAGACTTGATGAAGCTTAGTTGAGAATTGGACTCTTTGGGAGTGAAAGATTGACATGGTGTAGTAATTTGAATTTTCGCCTCGTGGGCCAACTTCTTTGATATTGCGAAATTAGACTGAACTTGGCTCTCTGAGAATATTTCACTCCCAGGTTCGTAGAGAGCACCACTGACAGGTGTTCAGTCTTGCCCTCCGTAAATCTCGAGTGTTGGATCCGTTTTGATGGATAATTATTTTACACCTCCAACGAGTTGATTTCACAGACAAGTCTACCTTCCATGTTTTATATTAGAACTCCTGAAAGTGATCATTACACAATACAAGGACTAAGTTTTTAATAAAAACACATTTTTAACGACATTTTTGGCTGCCTAACCTACACAGTCCATGAATCTTAACACCACTATTAAGTTATCCTCTATTCTAGCAAATAATGTCTCTCGAAAAGTCTGTTTCAGAAACTAGAGTTCGCAGGCATCTAACTCGCGATCAATGTATTGAAATAAGAACATAAATAAGACTTGGCTTGACATTACAACATATATCCGACGAACTTAGCTTCACAAGAAGGTAAGTGCAACTTACGTGTGCTCGAGAGACAGAGAATCCTAAGCCTCGCAAAAGATGCTTATCTAAATTAAGCGCGGAACAAGTTGATGAGCTTGAGGCTTTCGTCCGGGAATCTCCTGAAAATCGACAGATGTACTATTTGGAACTATCAATAGGACCTTTCAGCCACTGGGGATGCAGTGAGGGTTTAATTTCTAATGCCCTCAATAAAATAGGTTACAGCAGATGCATTGCTCGGAAGAAGCTTCCGTCAATTGTGGTTAACATGCACGAAAGATGTATGGCGGTGATAAAGGAAAATGGAGGGTTCACAAAGTATTGGGATAGAGCAGAATCATGCAAAACATGAAGTACGCTTTCATTTTAGTTGGGAACCATACTGAGGGCTTCGATGTATATATATAGTTATTTTTTAACCTGATTTGGCGTCTTGAAGCCCATGCAGGTATTTATCGGAAGATATGTACTTTAAGTAGGATGACTCAATTTGACATTTAGCACACTCACACTCAGATTTCATTTGCAGATACCATTCGAGGTTAACCCTTACGGCGTTTAACCTCTTCCGTGCATACCCACCACAGGGAAAAGCGTGAAAACCCTGTGGTTATCCGATTGTACTTTCATCATCCCACAAGTACAATATCACCGCGAGAGAGAGTGGTGTGTGGGTCTGACTGGATTCGAACCAGCTTTCTCCTGTCTCGAATGGGGTAGGTGTTCAAGCTACCCAGTATCTACTTAGGAGGACGGCCTGGATTGTGTACCACTGCACCATCCAACCCAACATGCGGAGCATACTGAGCGATAACACAGTCACCACTGGAAGGTGAGAATTCGTCTCTGCCGGCTCCCCACTAGGCTTAATTACTTAACGAGGACAGATTTATAGTTTTTATTTCTGAGACTGAGATCTTCACGCTTTGATTTCTGTCCTTAGGAATAGTTACATAGTTCTAATCACATCTCACTCCCGTCCTCTACTAGCCAGAGTGACCTACCTCACCTCCGGCCACTTTATCTAGATTGACCCCCTGCTTTCCCATTTACCACTTCTCCAGAAAGCCCTCCGCGTTCCTACGAGGCGTCTTTTGTTAGTAAATCGTACGCTACGCACTCTCCTTCGCCTCGAGTCTTGCGCCTAGTGAACCTGCGCCTGACACCATGATCTCTGCGTGGACGATCCGTACATGAGGTATCAGTGGATTCGTAAGGTCCACGGCAATTTGGGCACTGTATTTGTCGTGAGTATGGACCTTCGTGGGAATCCATTCCGCAAGAGCCGCATTGAAACTGGCGGGCGCAGGTCCTCGTGGCATGGAAGCCAGAAAATTTGTTGCAGGTACGCAATTTGTGCCTGTTTGAAACTCGTTGGACGCTTGATGCTTGTTTTTGGAAAATATACTCTGTAAGATATTATATGGATATATGTGATTCAATGAAAAAGACTTAATATTTTATAAATATGTGTAAAACTTAGAGAGGTCTTCGTGTGAATGTCACATGAATCCTCAAAAGATGAAAGCGCATACAAGAATGAATTCTTTAATTGCCTCCGTGCTACGAGTCCATCGTAGCACTATAATATCTAATTCTACCCTATTAACGCCCCTGATCATCACTACTAGAGCCGGCAAAGACTAATTCTTCACCTTCCAGTGGTGCCGGTGTAATCGCTCAGTATGCTCTGCACATCTGGGATAGCCAAGAAGAATCGCATCCGAATCGAAGTCGAAAGCAAACACATGTATATCTCCATTTGACGACTTCTCAACCATGCAGCACTCATCATTATCTTCAGAGTCCTCAACCCCGATCTAACCACATATCAACTCGCCTCGCCGACCGATAGAGGCGTCACCCCAATTGCAAACAGGAGCTTGCCTCATTCATTACCGGCCATCACTCTCTACATATTTACGACGCTATTTATACCCGCAAGGAGGAAATCAAGTCGAAAAATACAAAGTTGTGGTCTTGGTTTATGGGGGACTGCTACTCTAATGGGGTTATACATCTTGAGGAAGAACAGGCAGCTGAGATGTGGAGCGAGAGGGGAAAGAAGACTCTGAAGACTGTGTTGGGACTGATATTTTCGAGGAGTTTCCAACTTTGGATTTTTTGTGGGCGCCAAGACTAAGATTTCGGCTAATTAGCCAGGAGGGCTTCTTTTGTCGATGAGTCAACGGCACTCCCCAGCGCGCTGGACGGCACAAAAGAAGTTGGGCCAAGCTACTATACAGCAAACACGCTCTGTCAAGACTTTTCTGACATTTCAGCACGACCTTCGGGAAGGAGTTGGAAGGAGGCTAGAAAGGCAGAGGGTGAATTTTTCGAGGTACCCACAAGTCTGCAGCGCCCAGCTGGCCGGCCTCTTCGAACGCTTCAGAAGGGGCAATATGTCTTCGGATTTATTCCTAATGTCGGTATTAGAAGAGCCCCGCACCCAGTGGTTTTTGCGAATTTTCCCGGCTGCCATACACCCGCAAATGGTTATCGTTTCGTTGGCTGGAGAGGGGAGGTAATGAAGGACAAAGGGCTCCTCTAAGTTTATAATCGAATGAGGACTTGTGAGGGGTGGTACTGTTTGAGGGGAGCTGTATGGGAGGCATAGGAGGGGATATACTACTGGTATAGGTATCCTTGGCCTGTAGGCAGAGAGGACCTGCATGTCCTACATAGTCATAGACTCAGACAGGACAATAAAATGAATTAATAATAATAATCACTACTAGACCGATGTGTGCTTGTGTAGATTGTGCTTTCGCTTATGGGCTGGGTTCAGAATTATGCTTGCAGTAACCTGCTTACACTACGAGAACATTAGGCTTATATATAAATCTGTGGGAGAAATTCCCGCTAGTCTCATGTGCCTGAGGATCCAAGATTGACAGACCACTAGATTAGTACGAGGCTCTCATAAATTGTAATGCTTATGTAATGTTGTTCACGTTGGAGTCCGGGCGTAGGATTAGGAATACTGCACTTATCTAGACGATACCCTGTATTAATAGAAAACCAAGTTACATCGAGTCTTAAGCTCTACTATACATATTGGGAGATTGGAGCCACGAGACACCCGTAACCTACGCCATCTTAAAGCTAAGCTTATCTCACTTTTCACACATACTAATCCATCAGGAACCTCATGCCTGCCAACCCTTGTGATGACCAGCCACCTCTCATCTACCATGATGAGCCAAGATACACTGTAGTACGTAAATATCCAAACGTATATGCGACAGTAGGGGCGATAAGCGCACTCGGGACATATGGAGAGAGAGTCGATTTTGTCGGCAACCTAAGACGAAACAGATAATGGTTGAGTCCTAGATTCGAGAGTCAGAATTTCCAACACTTGTCCAAAATGCTGCATCCGGGGTGGCAATTAGTGTGCCCTCGCCTTAGGAACATGAATTCTGATGTGCCCAAATGGGCTCAGAGAGTCTGTAGACTGACGTGTCCAGGCTATATGTCGAATAGGAGTAGCATTTTCTAAAGCTCGAATCGCCGGCTCCCCTTGTAAAAGCCCTTCAAATGGGATATAGGCTCTGTCTAATATTTTAACTTTCTTTGGTGTGGGACCGACAACAAATGTCGTCCAAGTCTCTTGTCTTTCCACCTTAGCATTCTCAAATCTTGCAGCAATGGCTTCACTATACTCTAAAGTACTAGTCACTCTTAGCTGCGATGCGGCAAGCACTGCAACGCCGGACAGAACCCGCTATGTGTCGACTACAAGTGATGGGTCGGGGATCAGTCTTGGACTTGTTGGCGGAGTAAAATCTGGTCTGCTTTCAGAGCTTCATGTTCTCGATCTAGCCGAATCATGATTCTTTTGTCTTCATTGCCCTGATGCTGGGGAGGCGTCGGTCTTGTTATGGGCCGACGTACATCAATGTTTGTTCCAGTCGAGACACCTGCAGCAAGTTTGGAGGTCCATGTCCTCTTATTGACACTTTGAGTGGAGGGCTTTTGCTCTTCCTCGTTCATTGAGCTCTTGTAAATCTCCAAGGTCCAACTAAATTAAGTAGACCTCTAGCTTTTGACGTGAGGGAAGTACGGTAGCTCCCTTCGGGCTCGTTGTTTCCTGTGTCCAATGGGATCATGCTAGTTTCTTTTTATCAGCGTATATTTGCTGCGCGGGGATCGCACTTTCAGGAAATATATAATCTGTAAACTGATCTTCTTCGATCGTGTCCTTCGGACTCGAGACCTGTTGAGAGTCGGGAGGGGCACTCTGGGGCACTAATGCCTGAAGTCCTCGAGAAACAGCGAGTCCAGAGATTTGTGCGTTCAGCTTCGAATTTAAGCAGGTGGTAACGCCATCACTTAACTGCCCTGTACAGAGTTGCTTGCGTGTTTCTGAATGCGATGCTTTGCATCCAGTGCCTCGGACACCTCGCGCTCTCTGCCGCGAGCCGGAGGAGCCGTATCCTCTGCTAAGAGAACAGTCTTGAATTTACAAATGTAATTTTCTCTGATGATGGAAGTTTTTTGTGAATGTCCCGTGTTGTAATTATTCTTGAAGGTGAATGTAGGTATGTTAGGACAATGATAGGTGTGGAACCCCTGTCGCATGATCGATTGCCTGAGGACTGTCAATTGTGCCGGACAACAAAGACCTGAAGAAACATTGGCCATTAAGAATAAACTAGCACATGAACGTAATATTCATATTGGAAATTAACCTGTAAATGAAGAAACTGATTACATAGATCTTTAGGTAGTTTTTCATGGCCAAGGACTCAGTAGAGACTTAAATTCTAACCAATCAACCAATCAAAGACCTGAAGCAGTAGTCATGAATTCACAGTTTGTATACTCAGGGGTGTAACCGAGTCGACGTCCTCTACATACGGTTAGACTTTTATTAGAGCCCACTAGTGCGTGAAATTTGCATATAAATTCTTACACTTTCTCATCGAGTCAAATATCAAAAACTAAACAAATCGTGAGTTCACCCAAAAATTCCTTGAAGTTGCTATGATTACAAAATCGATCTGTCAATCCCCTGAAATCCACAATTGGATATGATGTTTAATTATATGTTTTAATTCATGATTTGCAACAAGAACAGAATACTAGATCATAAACAAAACTTCAATTTCTGACCGTTTATTAGAGACTTCGCAAAAAAATCGTAAACATCATCTCATGCCGCACAAAAGCGTTATTAAGGAGCCAGTTCCGATTTCATACGTCGGTGGTCGTTATCTTTTATTCGATATCGATGTCGTAACTCATCTCAGAAGAGCCCATCACATATGCGGCACGTTAATGGGAACTTTACCACAAATTCCTCAACAGAACCTGTTCCTCGGCCTCCCTCTAGAGTTAATGAAGGAAGAAGTTAAGATTTTGGTTGATCGTGGCTATGCGCATATCGTTGACGACCGTGAATGGCACAAGAAGTACCAAAACTTCCACGGGAATGAGAGAAAGTTATATCTCGATTCTATTAGATCAGAAGGGATGAAGTTATCTCAGGCTGCTGCAAACGTCCAGCAAAAAAGGACACAGGCTGCATTGGATAACATAGGAAGGGATGTTCAAAAGGAGGACATGTTTAATGAAAGCCTTGAATCCAAATATATTTCTAGCTCGACTGATGTGTTGACGACTTCTGCTTGTGAGGCTCCCAAGATATTCATAAATATTTGTAGAACAAGTAATGATAATGTTTCTAACAATACTTCCAAAGCTATACAGCCTTATGCTATTACACCAACCATCAGTTACTCTCAAAGTTCATTCCGGAATAATGTCTCCGTAGAAGAAATTGAGCTTCCTCATTCATTCCACCTGTACAAAGATCTATATGACCGCGGATACTTCATATTGCCCGGGTTACGGTTTGGCTGTAATTATAACGTTTATCCCGGAGACCCACTGAGGTACCATAGTCACTTCATAGCAGTCGGGTACCAATGGGATCAAGACATACCAGTATTTGATATTGTAGGAGGAGGAAGGTTAGGCACCGCTGTGAAGAAGGGATTTCTTATAGGAGGTCTAGATCCAGAATCTAAGGATGACGAAGGGGGCGAGAAAAATCATGTAAGAACGTTCGCGATTGAGTGGGGAGGAATGTAGTTGATTTCTAAGGTACCCCAATTTAATTACGAGTGATGCCACAAATATGTTAAGCATATCGCACGCGATGCAGCTTCAATTTACATCCAGGAAAGAGATCATTCATAATACTAACTATGACTGACCTTACGTGTTATGATACCCTTTTGTAGGACCAAGGTTCGTGCCTTTGACTGCAGTCTTTCATTATCGATGCTGAATGAACTTTATAAAGTGATGTATACTTTCTCGGCCGAAAGTATAGATCATGTCACAGCACACTCGAAACATTACTAATCTTCAGGAAAGTCTTAGGCATCTCATACCTCGGCCATGATTGTTACAAAAATTATCGGCAGTTGGAACTGGGCAATCAACGCTACCCAGCACTTTTCATCCTCAAGCGGTCTCATTCATTTGGTATCTCGCATTTTGGAGAACCAGTCTCTGCTCTTACCGCAAACTGTCGAAAAAGCCGCCAAGGCACCGAGACTACTTGCAAGCGGCATTCAGGACAAGATAAACTTGTTCGACAGTGTAGCCAAAATAACTGAAGTGTCAGAAACCAAAGACGTGCTCTTAGCAACTTCCAAAAGACATTTAGAGTCAACAACAATTGTTACTGGCTCTAGATTAACACTGGGAAGTGCACGAAGTTTCACAATTATGTTCAGCTACTTCACTAGCAAATGGGCATTAGGCGCCGTTATCACAGCTATTGCTCTGAACAGAACCAATGTTTATGCCAGGACTAGATGGAACCTCAATCTCTCATGGAAAATGCGACTAATAATTCGGATACCAGTTATTGTTCTTTTGTCGGCTCACTGCCGAAATATTTTGCTATCAATTCAGTGCCAAACATCACCCGATCTTGCTATTTCTCCGAGGGGAAATATGTCACATCAGTTAGAAAAAATGTTTACACAGAATGGGGGCTTCCTTTATGACCTCAGCACCAAGCTTCTACTTGGTGTCAAAGGTACAAATTCATGTTTGTCTACAGGTATGGCAATATCTGAACAGGATGCAGGAGTCGATAAATCAAGCTTGCATGACAATATCACGTTGAATGGATTTAAAGGATCTTTAACATTGCTTTGGCCGCTGTTTAAAATATTTGCTTTGAGTCATTTCACAGAGACATTTTCGTCTGCAGTACAGGGTCGACAGCAGGCTGGAGAATTTGGGATTTCAATATTTGAGCATTCCCTTGCCTTCATAGAGGCAGAAGTCATGGCTGGAAACGAATTAGGCAACATAAATTTTGGATTATTTAGAACATATTCATCTTGGACGAACTCAACAAATACAAATGACCACCCTCTGATGTTGAGAAAAGCTAATGTAAGTCTAGAAGTTCTTCTAGTGAGCTTCATTTCAGCCATGAATCATCTTACAAGTCATATCTTGGCGATATTTGATATGCAAGCCTGTTTCCGACTGCTGAATACAGGAACCTGGGGACTTGCCTATATATCAGTAATCATAACCAGTATCTTATCATTCTCAATCCATGAAGCCACAAATCAAAGTCTCCTTCGTTTCCCCACAGTTTATCTCATAAGTTTTATACCCCACATTCTCATGCTTTGTGGTATTTTTGGATGTTCGTTAGTTTATATTATAGCTTTGACGCTAACGGCTTTTGTTCCTTCTGTATGGGTAGAAGCAGAAGAAATACTTCCTGTATCAGGACGGTTTTTTCGTGAAAGACTAACTGCAGCGCACCAGAATATGCAAGCAAACGCATTCCTTTCAAATATTCGATTAGATCTATGCATGGATTTTTATACTGCGCTGCTGCGTATAGGGTTCTCCATCATGACTATGGCTAGTGAGGCTATATATCTCAATGAAAGTAGAGCTATCAGTATCAAGCAGCGAACTTGGATCGAGGAAGATCGGCTTAACGAAATCGAAGCTACTGGATTAGAATGGCCCGGGATGAATTTTGGAACACCTGTCACTAATTTAAGCATGACAAGTAGTGGATATCTTAATGACAATGGCCAAGTTAGAGTCAAATCCTTGCCAGAAACCGATCGAATTCGATTATTTTCCGGATATGCGTGCGAGCTTACCACAAAGACCCAAAAGCACGGAGAGAATCGACAGGTTAGGACTAGTACAGCTGATCGAAATAGAAAATGGTATACAACGTTTGAATTCTGGTTAAATCTTAGCAACCTATTACTTTGCTGTATTGCATCGTCTCTACTATGGATCATGGCTAAGTTTGGTGTGCAAAATCAACCTCGGTGGCTACGGAGAATCATTCCTACCCAAAATAGAAAATCTAATAATGTTAGAGTAAACACTCAATTCAACGTAGAACTACTTCACCCTGGGCTCGTGGGTCTAGATGGAAAGTTAGAGATTGTCAATGAAACTAGTTTGGATGTTGAGGAAGAATACAGGAGGTTATCTCAAAAAAATAAGAAAAACTGGACTGAAAGGGATGAAAATGATCTAGAAGTTAATCTTTATAAATGGTGGCTGGCTGGCGGATGGTGGGGCGATAATGACAACAGTGGAAATTACATTCCAAAGCCTTTTGATGCAGACGAAGATAAGACCAGTATAGCATCATCTACAACTGATGAGGATGTAGCCTGGGAATCCGACGGTACAGATGAAGGTTTTCATCATTCAACCCCCCGAAAAAGATATCTTAGCTCGAAACTATCGACAACTTCAATTGATTCAGCCTTAACAACATCCGATCTATTCCAACTAATAAATCCCAAAACTCTAGAGCAACGCGCTCAGACTGAAATCCTCTCCACCCATCTCTCAACCAATGAAATTGTAACACGGTCACGATACAAACAAATCAAACAAAGATCACGCACAGAGGTTTTGACTTCCACTAATATACGCCCCCCAAACTTTGTCCCATCTGCGTCGAGTGGCAAACTCAGTCTTGAAGAAGAAGCACAGATTCTTGAGTATTTACTTATAACACGACGTAATGCTAGTCTTCAGCAAAAGTCTTTTGTATGGACTCGTGATTCTGATCAGACAAACGATGCTGGGCCAGTATGTGTCATATGCCAGAGCTTGCCACGCTGTACAATAACTTGGCCTTGTAGATGTATTTCTCTCTGTAACGATTGCCGAATCACGCTCGCCATGAATAACTTTGACAAGTGTGTTTGTTGTCGACAGCAAGTCATAGGCTTCTCTAGAATATTCGTGCCTTGAGGCCGAAATACGGTACCAGTAAATGTGTGTGCCTGTGAACTTTTGCTTTCTACTAAATGAAAGTATGGTGTTTTGATAGGTTGAGCCACGCCATTAATGGAAGTTCCTAGATATTGTATGAAAAAGGTCATCATAAATATACAAAATAAATCTTGAAACAATATTATTTTGAGCCCGAAATCCAAGTATTCTGGCAAATACATCGGTTTGGTATGATCACCTTTCGTAATTCGATTATTTTTAGTGAGCGTTACAACATACAGTTTATTTCTCTCATCATTTCAAATATAATGTCTTCCGATACACTCCGTCTTGTCAGAATCCTCAATCTTGGTTAGGTCAATTAGAATAAGGAGTTCTGACATCGCAAGCAAGTCTTTGCTTTAATTTTAGAATCTTTGCATTTCGATAAAGAATTATCCGATGGTATGATAGACTAATATTATTATGCTTCAGTGCAACACAATTGTATCAACAATAATTAAATTAGGTTTAAGTAGTGTGATTTTACTATACCACTTGAGTCATAGACATTCTAAAACATTGGGCTCCTCTCTGACCCAGGCCACACCTTGAACAGTGCTCCTTGCCTCTCGTGTTTCTTGAAAGATCATTGATATATTCCCATTGATGAATAGCCATTCAGCTCAGTGTTTACCCGTGGAATTCGGCTACCTTTGCCACGGAACCTTCTACCCAAAGAAAATAAAAATGGTAGCAATGGAAACTGCGTGCGCGGGAAAAAGTCTCAAAAAACCTGCAGCCTCAGCCAGGAGAGGCCTAGACACCGGGACCACATGAGGTGCGAATATTCATCTATATCTCCCTTCTTTGTAACAGTCGAGGCCGACTTGATCCAATCCTCCATCTCCGTATCGGGTGCTGGGTACGCTCCGGAAACTCATCGGATGGCTTTTCCTCCACAATCAAGGGTTTGTGATGAGTAGGGCTTCGACCCTACCATCTGATCTGATGTTGGTTAACTTCATGATAATGGTGATAGGGGAATGTGCATGGAGATGAAGACGATACAGACCGCGAAAACGAATGGAAATCCTTATGGAAGTGAGGACTTTGTTACTCAATCTCGACTCTGCAGACTACAGTGAGAACTGTAGCTTCGTAGTGGACACCACTAACAGGCGTTAAGTTCTCGTCCCTAAACAGCAATAAACACACACTTCTTCTACACAGTGATTCTCACTAATTTCAAAATCACAATCATAGCTTCAGTTCAGCTAACTGTGTATAATTGTAAACTCTTAGCAAAAAGATCAGTTGTCAGTAAGGATATCTTAAATCATTCATGTGTTTAGCTACAAGGCTTTGATAATTGATCAGTATACTTCACACATTTTGAAGGGCTCTTTTAACTTCTGCAACACCAAAAAACGCTAAGTCTCAATCGTAAAAACCACCTAGAGGTAAATCTGTTTGAACTAATCAGTCTCATTTTTTCCATCGAAAACCACATAGAGAAGCGACATAAAATTTGGTTTCGTGAGCCTGCCTTCGTTGTTTCGTGTATGAACACTGCAAGATATGAGAGCAAGTATTTCTAGATTCGAGGCGGCGATCTTGGGTCTCGAATTGGGTAATTGTGCTGTCTATTCATAAACAGTTTGAGAATCGCATAGGCCTTGTGATGATTAGTTTGAAGGGCTTAGGGCATTTTACAATTGTTTTGTAAAATCACATCAATCAACAATGATAATTCGTAAATATGCTGGGGTCATTTTTGCGAGTAGTCAAAAAACGGAAGAGCCGGCAAGCTTTTAAGTTTATATCCTATTCTTTTTGGTTTCTGCTGTCTCTTTTAACGAAGCTACTAATACCCGATGAGAACCCAGAGCTGCTTGAACTGCATTGTCCATGAGATCCTCGAATGATATTCCTCGACACAGATTTGAATTCTCAAACCCCATCTCACCTTTAGCCCAGAGATCTGTTATCTCGTCTTGTGAAGGAAAATACGCTACGACGCAAGCAGCTAGAATATTTTGGTGCTCCGAAGGTACGGGATCCAGAACTAAGGTAGGCAGGTTCGGCTCATCTTCTACGATAGCTGCAATACCACCAGCTACCACGTCGAGGCAGTCAATTCCAGCGTCAGCAATGGCAGCAGAGGCAACAGTAATGCAGCCACTGAGGACACTCATCATGCCCCAGTCGTCTACCGTGGTTGCTCCTTGTCTTAAACAATCTCCCCACCAATAATCTTCTTCGCCTTCTAAGATTGTGATGATGACTTCCATCCCACTTTTAGGCCATCGATCTCCAATTATCACCCCTCGGAGCGCAGTCTCCAAATGTACACTTAAGTCTCTCTCAGTAGCATCTCGTAAATACCCTCGACGCTTTCGAGTTGCAAATGGCGCAAATTTGACGTGAGTTGTGAGAATGATATGAGGGGAAAAGGGTGCTGATCGAGGTAGAGGGCGAGGACCATGTACAGTGCAAGTCAGTTTAAGGCCGGAAGTCAGCAGTGAAGATAGGCCTGGTACCACCTCTTTTAGTGGTGTTTTAGGAATAGAAAACTCTAAGTATGCCGAGCCAGAAGCTGAAGGGGTAACTCCTGTTTTTAGAACTACAAAGTATCAGCAGCGACAACGCTGGCAGAGCGAGCTCTTCTCAATACATACACATTTTTCGCTGGGCACCAGGTGTTCGAGTTCTTTTGGGTCTCCGTCGAGTGTCCGCTGCGCCATCATCATCTAAATTTGAGTAAACTGGGACGCTGGTACCCCCAGGGGGCCCGTTGATTCTTCGTCTGTCCATAGTCGAAGGCGTTGATTCTTGGTTACTTCCAGGCCAATTACTGCTGAAGCTAGATATTTTTGATCTAACCTAAAGAAGAATAGACGCGCTTCAAATGGTCCAAGCTTTTCAAATTTACTTTATATTCAAAGACTCGACACCAGTTACATGAATCTACACAACACTCAAATATAATGTAAGTCCAAGTCTAGACAACTTACACACTCCAAGCTCCTGATGACCTCTTTCACAACCGTTCTTTTTTGATTTCCTGAGAAATACGAACAACATGCATCACCATCTGAAGCAATTATATTCACTCCATACACATAACCCGTTAATATATCTAACAAAACCACAGGTAATATAATATCTAAACTAATAATTCAAAAAGTCTATGTGTTTAAAATTGATACGTCAAAGCATTAGGGTTTCCAAAAATGTGAGTGAACTACGATTATAAACTTTCCACAAATCACTTTTGATCCTATGATGAAAAAAAAATCAGTTCTGCTTCTGAATACCATGACGATTTTTTAATAAACCAAATTTCTGAGGACCTTTTCACCATTTCTCATCTCTATCATGAAACTAACTTCATTAAACAGGTAAGATTCCAAATACCAGTGTAAGTATCAAAATGCGCGAAGCATAACCCGCAATGATGATAATAGCTTATCCATTCAATGAGATGCGTACATCTGCCTACCCCGGCTCCCTAATACCAGATCTTTCTTAACGGAAGAATATGATCGGTTGTGGAGATTCGGGTTACAGAGCCTTGAACCTGGCTCTTACGTCTTGTAATTTCCAGAATCATGGCCGGCAGGGCCGCCTGACTAAATTGGCTTTTCTGAGCATAATTTTTTCCTCCAACAATTTGAAAAGATACTCGCTGACAAACTTAGAGATAAGGCGTGAACATACAAATATTTTATTAATATTAAGGGAAATATTTGACTAAATTAAAATAATTACATTAGCCTGGTTATTGTGGTTTTTCATGAATTTGATACACACTTCAACTATCAGTCTTTAACCAAAATCTCTTTGCATGCCACAGATAACTATTTTTGATGCTGAAGCCTGCTGTTATAACTACATTAGAAGATAAATCACAATTTGATAAACGAGGAGTGTTAATGTTGGTATGACAGGGTAAATCTCAGTGATAACACAGGTAATGTGAATGGGCTTGCTTATACAGAAGTAGTGGCATAAGATGTATGTGTATAGAGGTATTTAAGAAAGAACGCCCCTGAAGCTTTGTTAAAACCTGTGTCCACATGTGTGCCCAAGGCATGAATCCAAGCCTCGGGCCTCAGGTCTACAGTAGTAAGTGCTCTGATAAACTTCAGCTCAGCAGATCGGTCTTCGTTTAACATAATTACTAAAGAATAATCTCCGATCCAGAACGTTGGAAAACGGCAAATAGGTTTACTGATAGGCAAACAGGCAGCGTCAAAATGAATTTCAAAGATACCCCCTTAAGAATTCACCGTAACCTAACCAGGGCCCAAAGCAGTGTCGCCATTCAGCTAAGGAGCGAGCATATCGGACTCAATTACTTGAGCAGAAGAAAAGTACCCGGAGTAGAAAAGCCAAGCTGTCAATGTGGATATCCGTCGCAAAACGTCAAGCATATGGTGTTGGCGTGTCCGCAGTGGGCAAATGGAAGAGGCGACTTTCTCCGACAAGCTAAAGACAGGTCATTTGAAGCAATGATAAACAGCCTAGAAGACATGGCCAGAATTACACAGTGGATACTAAACAAAGGGTGGATAAAACAGTTTCGACTGGCAGGAGAAGTCGAGGTAGCAATGTCGGATAAAGTAAATAGATCTGGAAGGGGAGAGGATGGAATCCACACGGACTGAACAGTGTACACTGCACTTCCTGAAGGTAAACTAAATAAATTGATAGGAACATAAAAAGACAGGATCAGGGGGTTTTCACCAAATTGATTTCCTCTTTTGTAAATAATGCAGATAGTCACCTGTATGGACCCACAGGGTGCCTGATCGGGTTAAATGAAATCAAAATCAAATTCAAAGGATAATCTCCAATTATCACAAAATCTTATATTTCACGATGCTCGCCAAGTATACTAATCTCTACTTTCACGTGATGCTTCCGATTTGGTCTGAAACTACTTATTTCAACAAAAGGGAATAGAGCAACATCCGTACTACCATTTCTAGATTAGACTCGTTTAGACTTATTTGGCATACATGGATCTTGAAGGCGTCTATCAGACTCACAGATTTGTGGAGACCATTTGGTAATCTAAGATATTTGAATTGATTCCGCATCACAGAAGTCTCACCATTAGATATACATTCACATTATCTAGGAAAAATGTACACGGTCCCCATCCTATTTTGCTACATTCCCCTCTTCTACTTAAAACCAGATACATCCTTCCAGTAAACAGACCGCGCTAGCCATCCCATTGAACCCACTGTGCGCCAGCAAAGATAAATTATTAATCTCCCAGTGTTGCCGGACTAATCGCTCAGCATGCTCTAAATATCTGGGATACCCAAGAAGAATCGCATCCGAATCGAAGTCGTAAGCAAACACGGACTTATCTATAATCGACGACTACCAATCAATGTCGGTCTTGTCATTCTCACGGTAGTCCTTTACCTTTATTGAACAACACCACTTCGACTCGTCGACCGATGATTGATTTGCTCTAACTACAGACAGGAGCATGCCTCAATAATCACCTACCATCACTCACCCTTGATCATGGAGGAGAAGCTATTCAATGAGTTTCCAGAGCGTCCCCTCACCTGATACTGAGATGGTGGATTGGTTCAAATCGGCCTCGACTGTTACAAAGAAGGGAGATGTTGAATAATATGCGCACCTCATGTGGTCCCGGCGTCTAGGCCTCGCCTGGCTGGGGCTGCAAGTTTTTTGAGACTTTTTACCGCGCACGCAGTTTTCATTGCTACCCTTTTTATTTTTTTGAGTAGAAGGTTCAGTGGAAAAGGCAGCCGAATTCCACGGGTAAACACTGACCTGAATGGCTATTCATCATGCGCAATATATCAATGATCTTTCAAGCTACATAAAAGGCAAGGAGCACTGTACAAGATGTGACCTGTGACAGAGAGGAGCCCGACGTGCTAGAAAGTCAAAGAATCAAGTCGTAACACAGAAAAACATCGTAATTTGGTTAAAACCGGCACCATGTTCCATGAAGGTTATTTCATCATTTCGATAATATTTTCCATCTCAATCAGTCCATCGTATCTGATTCCTCAAAGTTTTCACGTTGCGCTTCGGCATAGCGAGTTGGAAAGCCAGAAAGGTGGATTTTACGGCAGAAAAGTTTTCACGGCGCCACAACCACCACCAACGGACAGCGGTACCACCACAATTACGGCTGTAGAGTCTCTCGTGACATCTACAGGCGTCAACGTGGATACAACAAAGATAGTAGGGCTTTATCTTAACAAGGTCAGAGATAGACTAGTGATAGTAGGCACTGACAAATCTGCGACACCGATAGTCGAGATAGGTAAGGCACTTGATGCCTTCAAAGCCCACGCTCCGATGTTACAATCGAAGATGAAGGCTTCAGGAATGGAAGAACGGATGCTGGCCTTAGGGAAGGCAGTCATGAAGAATCTCGAGGAGCCGTCGCGCAAGACGGCTGCTTTTGCAATACAAGAAATGGGAAGGCGACTCACATACGCCTCAATCCTCGCACCGCCAGTGAGTAAGGCGGCAGTACGGATAAGAGTACAAGGAGCTAATAAGATGGAGCCGGCAGAGCCGCTGGAAAAGGCAGAAAAAAACGGAGGGGGCATACTCAGTAAGGAAGCTGCGGAGTAATGATACAGAGGTGTTTGTGAAGTCGGTCTCCTAGCGAGACGCGGTCCTGGGTGTGGCGCAACCAAAGGAGTCCTGTATCCTAAAGTATGATTACCCCGTTGAAATTTAGTGGATCCGATCGGGGATATTTATAGGAGGAGGAAATTTTTCAAATAATGGTGAATTTATAAATCAAATTGTGGTAGAAACAAAAGTTCGGATTCCGGAACTAAAAATCAACAGAGTGAGATGATTCTTCGACGGTAAGGAGCACTGATGGATGGGAAATAACGGCCATTCTCGAGGGTCAATCGTCGCGAGTTTGCCGACAGAGGCACTTCAACGCGAAGTGACAAGAAACGTCATTGTATACAACTCAACTATTGAGCAGAATTTCCTATGTTTGGGTTACATTTCAGTGAATTTATGATTATTTATTCTGATGAATTTGTAGGGTAGTATTCACCTGAGCTACGTATCGGAGTTAGTGGAAAGCCGGGAAGGGAGACGGTATTTTCAAAGAATTCAAAAGTGAAGTAGTCTAGATCAAGGACAAAGGGTGAGATCGGAGTTTGGGGGATGTGATGTATATAGTTAGAGATTACACATAGCTTGAGGGACACGCACAAGGACTACTTTTCTCAAACATCCTGACTGAGTTTATTTGACTGACATCAACGCTGTACATGGCCCAGCTCTGGTCACCCCGAGCACAAATCAAGCAGTGCTTCAACTGCTGTCAATGGGGGCATACCCGAGTCTCTTGCAATAAGACAAGGAGATGTGGTGAGTGCGCGGGCACCTGCCAGACCAGGGAATGCCCGAGGAAGTCGGTGCTTTGCTGCAACACCGACAAGGACCATAAGTCGTGGCAGAAGGGGGCGTGTCAAAACTTCGCGGTATACAAGGCTAGCGTTCAACGGGCACAGTATGAACTCATGGAGAGGACGGCGGAGTTTAGGAAAGGACAAACATCAACAACGGCATCTACAACAACAATTTCGGCAAAATCTACAGATGACCAAGGGTTCATACTGGTGTCCCACCAAAAGCCGGAGGTATTAAAGAGAGGGCAAGGACGCCCGCACAAATAGCCCCTGCTTCGCTTGCGAGAGTGCAGCTGAAAATATAAACACAAGCCAACGATGGAAGGTGACGTGGTCAGCCTTCTGGTGGTGTTCACTGGTATGGTTTTAGTAGCCTGGGCACCTACTCCACTTGGGAAGGAGACATCTCACATTACATTTCGCGCGAAGAAAAGTTGATGGATGACGGAGGCATGTCTGGATAACTCAGGGTTTTTGAGATGTTCCCCTGGGTGGGTATTCACGGATGAGGGTTGACTTGGGGTGAAGAAAAAGCCACCATAACTTCGCAGTGGTACTTGCAAATGAAATCCGAGGCATGAGTGCTCCTCTTGTAAATTGAGTCATCTTTTCTGTACTTTTCCTTGATATTGTGTCATAGCTAGATAGCTGCATACGCAATTAAAATCTGATGCAAAAAAAAACAGCCCCTGGTCAATCTCCACCACAATTATTTGGATCATCGGGGTCAAGTTCAAGACCATAGTCGTCTCTTTTCAGCATGCGAAGGCAGGGAAAGGATGATGATTATATTTATCGTGCCAGGCTTACACCCTCCATCCAATGGACATGACACGCATCAGGGAAAGGATGGCGAGGTCACCTATAATTTTAGCTAGTCCTGTCTAGAACCAATGGTACATTGCACTTACTGTAGGTAACAAAGGACTACAGTAATAAAAAAATTTCATAGAGGGAGGGGGTCTTTATCGTAATCGTTTCCTCCTCATGCAAGTATATAGATGGGGGGTTTTTTTTTTTTTGCATCAGATTTTAATTGCGTATGCAGCTATCTAGCTATGACACAATATCAAAGAAAAGTACAGAATAGATAATTCATCGTTAAGGAAGAGCTCTCATGCCGAGCATTTCATTTGCAAGTACTACTGCGAAGTTATGGCGGCTTTTTCTTCACTCCAAGTCAACCCTCATCCGTGAATAACCACCCAGGCGCACGTCTCAAAACCCCTAAGCTATCCAGATATGCCTCCATCATCTTTCAATTTTTCTCCGCGCGAAATATGGTCTGTGGTATCTCCTTCCCAAGGGGACTAGATGTCCAGGCTACTCAAACTATACCGGAGAACACCACCAGGAGGCGGACCACAACACCTTCCATCGTTGGCTTGTTTTTATAGTGTCAGCTGCACTCTCGCAAGCGAAGTCTTGGCGCGCACAAAGCTCAATTCGTAAAACTCTTGCCAAAATTCGGAATCTCATGCCCTTCGAAGTTACATCCCTCTTCTGCATCATCTTGTGAACTTGTCCTGATCCCTCTCACGTCCATCCCAAAGAGCTATCTCCCAGATTTGTGCTCCACGCTTTGCTTCCTCCGTCGGGTATAAATATCGGCGTCGGCGTGTATTTGGTGACCAGCTGAGGCCAGAGAAGGTCGAAGAGTGGTGTGGTCATTGGAATGAGGATGTACTTGGTCGTACTTGTAGACTCGATGAGACGAAGATCGGAGTCAAACTCGTTGGGAGCGAAATAACGACGTGGATGAGTAATTTGGATTTTTGCCTCGTGGGCCAACTTCTTTGAAATTGCGAATTATGACTGAACTTGGCTCTGGGAGAATATTTCACTCCCAGGTTCGTAGAGGACACCGCGTACAGGTGTTCAGTCTTGCCCTCCATATAGATGGGTTTATAGCCGCTTGTATGGGTCCACAGGGCGCCAGATCTGGTTAAGTGAAAACAAATTCAAAAAATCAAGCAGCACATTCAACTCTCATACTCACTCTCAGCTTATGAATTCTTTTCTGTTAGCACCATTTCTGTTTACGTTCCGCCAATCCTTGACATGCATTTGCAGGGATAACCATGCTACAATCATAAGATATAGCTACAAAATCATTTGACACCATGACCATTAAGATAGCGGTACTAGCTATATCAGTCTATGAGTCGTTGGGTATTGAGTATAAAAAAAGTCACCTAGGCCATTAGAGTTTTCCTTCATATAATCAGATAGTTTAAGGGAGTCCAAATGTATTTCTACGTAGACAATACTCAAACAAAATATGACCTATTTGGTATCAGTATCTTGTTTCTTGTTTGCCCATTGGAAATTAACATATAACTTTCGAGGAAATCTATTGAGACAATATGCTGTTAGAAGGTTATCCACATAGATACTAAATTTTATTGAAAGGTTAAAAATCGCGTGAGAAATTCAGGTCGCGCAGGGCAATCTTGTAAGTGTAAATATTTTAAACTTGTATCCGTCCCATACTGGCTGTGTAATAGGATCATTTCGATCCAGAAATAGGTAAATAATCCAACCCAGCGAAAGTGATGATTTCCAATGGTACTCAAAGAAAAACTACTAGCCACCAAATAAACTAGGTGAGATTAAGGTATTAATTCAAACCTTAGATATTGACGTATCAAAATCAGTACCTGTATATATTTTTAGAAACATAGTGGCAAAGAGCACCTGTATCAGTTCAATCGCGATAATTTGAAAGGCTGGAACTACGCCCTTGCGGCACTATTGGATAATTAGCTACAGGCTACCTTCAATAGTTTAATAGCCTTACTCCGGGTTCTTGTTGGCGGCCTACTTGTCCCTGTGTTTCCCCCGTGATTTGTATTGCTAACTTTTACACCTGCGCTCATTCCATAACCACCATTGTTATGGCTATTGCTTCCTGGTCTATCAAAGAGTTCACGTGGGCTTTTCCGATATAATTTTAACATAGGGGTATAGGATGGTACTAATGGGAGTGGCTTAGTAAAACCTGGCGGGATAGTAGTACGATGTGTGGATGGTGTTTTCAGTTGATTTACTAAAACTGTCAACACATAACATTCAAAATTCCTATGTAGAATACTGACATTGCAAAGTTTCTTGTCTACGGAAGCCTCCTGGCCAGGTTCGTTCGCCATCTCTTTCAAACATGATGCCACCGCTAGAACTACCATCAACATTCATCGCCATGTTAAGTGCGTTATTTGTCTTCCGTTCAGAAAACAGGGGTGGTGGGGGCATCTTTTTCTTAGTATTTATGTCTGTGTCAATATATCTATTTGTGCAAGCTGATTCCTGTATGGTCTGCTCTACTGCATCAGAAGCGGCGTCTTGAACATGATCAAGCAAATTCCGACGCTTCATTTTGTCATACAGTTCTTGCGTTTGATGATATTTTCGAGTTTTATCACGAAGTTGCTGGATGAGCTCTTTGTTTTTCTTTCTTAGGGCATCTTGCTCAGCTTGCATATCTAACACCTGAATGAGTGGGGCTCGTATCAAGATCTATCATGGGACTAACTAGTCATTTTATCACGCATATTTGAGAGTTCTGAATTTGCATCGTGAATAATCTTATCCATCTGAGCATTTAAAGTCCCATACTTTTTAGTTAGATTCTTCGCACAATATTCTTGATAGACTCTAATTCTTGTCAGTGATGACTCAACGACACAATTTTTTGAGAATGAACATTTCTTGAGTAGCTTGATAAGTCCAGAAACTTAGAGCCCTTCCAGCGCATTCCATAATAGTATCTGGATTTAATCCACTAAGAACACTCGTTTTATAGTCCTCAGTAGGATTAAGGATAGTCACGACCGCATCATCTGGGTTACAGAGGTTGATATGGCATGCTGGACATGTTGGATATTGTTCATGCTGTCTATTTAGTAGCTGGAATTGATTGGCACAGTCTATGCAAAAACAATGACTGAAGGAAAGTCAGGTCGGAAGTTGATCGAACAAGTCAATAATAAAAAAGAATATATAATACCTGCAAGTAGTTACAAGAGCTTGCTCGTTGAGTTCCTTCCGACATTTCAAGGTATTGCATCGTAGGCAGTGCTCCATGGTAAGTGAAAGATTATTTGGAAGCTACCTTTAGTCATATCAAGCCTTTTTCTCTAGATCGCTCACAATCCCTCAGTCGGCTATGTAGTCTAAGATTGAAAGGGAAGGAACGTCTTCTTTAAGTTGATATTATTTAATATTGCGTTCTTTAGAGCTGGTATTGATTTGGCAGTCTTGACATTTTCTAGCCTGTTAAAACTCGGCATAATATACCTCATGGAAAATTCGACTAAATCTTAAAGAAAGTGTGATATCTCGAAAAAAAAGCTTCAAAGTTAACTTTTTTCGTCGCATTATTTCGAATGTTGGATATTAATTACTGTGTCGTCATAGGATTAGACTATCGATCTCACATGCTTGGAATGGTGAACAATTAGAAAATACCTCATTACCTCTTAAAATAAAGATCTCAACTGTTTATTTATTCTTCTATGAACGATGTATGTAAACGCAACTGATATAACTCATAGCGGAAATGCGGCCCGACCCCAACGGTGCCATATCTGATAAATGCCGTACAGTACTAGATCAGCCTCGCTCTTTTAACAAAAACATGAGAAACGTATCTGGTGACACAATTATGAATCGTCCAATAGTCTAAAATGAACAGATCATATCTTTCTAGAGAGACTCCACCATGCAGTAGCACCAATATTATGGCGTGATATTCTGAATCAAAATCGGAATATACTTTCCTACACATGGTAGGGAACAGCTTACAGGTGATAACTAAGGGAAGGTTCACAGGAAAAGCCGCACACGTAGAGACTATATTTGATTTTAGATATTGCTCCAGTCTGACTCGTTTTTATTGCGGTTATGGTTGGAGTTCTGGTCAGTACTGTGGCGGGATCTATTGATTGTTGTAAAAGGCTACTACAACACGATGAAGAGAGGGTATGAAGTCCGAATACCATATAATTTTCACATATTAGAGGAAATCTTTAATCCATTGGGAAAGCTCCTGTTATACCTCCTAACCATCGGTAAAGTCTACTCGCATGATGTCTGACGTCCCACTGGTGGAAGACATTGAGGTTGGCTGCCCAAGGAGTCTGCGCTCAATCAGCAGGTGTCCTAATTCCTTGCTCGGACCTTGTCGACTAGGGTCGGATGTGATTAGTCTCCTAAACATCCGACCTTCTCCTTACTCGTACCAGGTTAAGCCCGTGGTATTATTTTGTCCAAATTTTTTTGAAAATTTTTTCATGTAACCCTATTTGACGCCATGTGGACCCATACAGGTACCTTTTTTTTTTTTTTTTTTTTTTGCATCAACATGCAGGCAGCTGTGAATCTATCTATGAGCATCCCGAATGCTAAGTATTACAGCAAGCGAGCAGCCAAGTTTCAAGACCACATTGAGAAAGAGAGAGAGGTGTGTTTATTGTATTACTTGAGTCTTAGTCTATCTAGCATACTGAGCTCTTCTCTGACCCAGGACACACCTTGTGTAGTGCTCCAAGCCTCTATTGTTAATTGTAAGATTATTAATATATTGCTCGTGATGAATAGCAATTCAGCTCAGTATTTAGCCATGGAGGGGGACTATTCGCAACACCTGTCGGTGGTATCCCCTCCGAACCTCTAGCTCTCATTGTAGAGTCTGAAGAGCCGAGATTGGTTAACAAAGTCCTCACTTCCATGAGGATTCCCATTCGCTTTCGCGGTCTGTATCTATCACGGTTTCAGTACAAAATGCTTGGGCGATCTTGTAGGTACAGTATATTAATTATAATTCTCTAGAGAGAGAATTCCTGTAGCTAGACTACAAATCTATATACACTCTGAGGTACTCCTCTTCCATAAGGTTCTCCCTATGACTAGAATAACATGGACTCCTCAATAATACCCTTGAAGATTCTTGATATACCTGTTGTCCTCATGAACCTTCAGTGTGCTTCCAGAAGGTTCATTTAGAATCTTCTAAGCTCCTTGTATCCCGAGATCCTTCCCGAAGATTCCCTTGCTTTCATTGCCTACGCTAGCCAGCGTAGACTACAGGAATCTTTAGGCTTAACAGCCGTTACAGTATCGTCTTCATCTCTCAACACATTCCCCTATCATCTTTATCATGAAGCTAACCACGATCAGATCAGATGGTAAGGTCGGAGCCCCACTCATCACCAACCATTGATCATGGAGGAGAAGCCATTCGATGAGTTTCCGGAGCGTACCCAGCAGCAGTGATGGAGCTGGTTACGTGATGTGTTCATGAAATTAGAACTAGTGGCGCGTGTTGAAGCTTTGTCTTTTAGTGATAGAGATGAAATAGAGGATTATGGGTCACGATGTATGAGGTAATCTGGATGTGAATATTTGATTTCCTTACGCATATTATTATTGGGGCTGGATGGTGCAGTGGTACACCATCTGGGCCGTCCTCCCAAGTAGCTACTGGGTAGCTTGAACACCCACCCCATCCGAGACAGGAGAAAGCTGGTCCGAATCCAGTCAGACCTACACACCACTCTCTCTTGCGGTGATATTGTACTTGTGGGATCATGAAAGTACACTCGGATAACCACAGGGTTTTCACGCTTTTCCCTGTGGTGGGTATGCACGGAAGAGGTTAAACGCCGTAAGGGTTAACCTCGAATGGTATCTGCAAATGAAATCTGAATGTGAATGTTCTAAATGTCAAATTGAGTCATCCTACTTTAAAGTACATATCTTCTGATAAATAACTGCATGGGCCTCAAGTAGCTGAATCAGGTAAAATGAATTAGATGTATATATGTAAAACTTAGAGGGGTTTTGTGTAAATATCACGTGAATTGTCAAGAATGTAAGAGTGAAAGTATGGAATTAATTTATTACTATGAGTCGAGCCTAGGACTATATTGTGTGAGTATTTCCTTGTATGCCCCCTTGAGTATTGCCAGTAGCCAAACATCTGTGCGCGTAGATCTTACTTTCGCTTTTGAACTGGCGCAAAACCCAGACAAGCATGTGGATCCCGGATAGATCTACAGGGCATGAATTAGCTAGATGTAGGAAACGCGGCACACAAACGTAATTGTAATTATCCTATGACCTCATGCGCAGCAAATTGCACTGTCACAGCCCGCGGCCACAGCAGTAGATCTACTAGCATTGAGGAGTAAGGAGTAATCAATGTGTATAGACACATAGACATCCGACACTTGAAGGATATAGAATTCACGTATTAGTCTCAAGCTCTACACAAGATCTGTTGTAGTTAGGAGCCACGAGACACCACGTGATATCACCCCAATCTTACACCCACACTCATTGTATACTAAGTATACAACGCACGCTCGGAACCTCAAAAATATATTTTTGAAGAGTAAACCTCATTTCCAAATTGTAAAAAAAAAAAAACAGTAAGAACAACTAGTCACACCACTCAGCATCTCCGAAAAGAGCGAGCCAGCAACAATTGCAGGTGTTAACAAAAAGGTTTGTGATCATATTGACCAGCAAAGCGAGTTCAACAATAGGATCAAGAAGTGTTGTGAAAGTGTACAGTGTGTGACAGAGATATGTAGAGAAGATATTATTGTTGATAAATAATGTAGCTTGTATATAATACTGTCTAACTAAAATGTGTTGTGAAAAGTGTTATGTACATGCTTTTGGCAAACAGACCCATTACGCAAACGCCAAGGCTATGAACACGTGATTCATATTCATAACAAGAAGCAACTCGAAAAACTTGAAAGCGTGTTAGGTTTGCAAACAGACATCGCCATTCACCAAGCGGAACAAAGCAAAATAATGGCTGAAAGGATGGACCGCATAGAAATAACAATGTACGAGATAAAGACGAGTCTCAAAGCAATCCAACCAAGAAACCAATCTGGTAAGCTCGCAATGTCTGAAGCCTCCAATTCGACAACCCGGCCTGAAAAAGGCAAAGCCCCGGCAAGGCCAGATACATACCCTCCGGTCGACAGCACAAATGTCACCTCCAAACCATAGCCCGATTCCTTTGCTTTAACACCTGGCGAAAAATTTGTCAAAGAAGCTTGGCCTCAAGCACTTCTGGCTCATGAGGTAAATCACGAGGCATATGCCTGCATAAAAAATAAGGTGATAATAAGACCGGAACTTCGCCTGGACAAGGCCAATTCTACTGTATTTTCCAAGCTCGCCGAAATTCAGTCAGCTTTTAGAATTGCCTTAGTCCCGTACTGGAACTGGCCACAACAGCTTTGCTTAGACATGAAAGAGGACTTCCAATGTACATGCGTTTGGGCTGAGGAAAATCCGGCAACTACTTGGCCCCTGTTACTGGAAGCAATCTTCAAAACTATGCAGCAACTAGACGTCCTACATAGTCCCAGAACCATCTTCTCCCGCCTCGGTGCCAGAGATGGAGAAGACGTTAACTCCTTCACCACCAGAATCCGCGAATGCTACTACGGCCTGTCCAAGCAAGACAGAGGAAGCAATACTACTCGAGATACTCTATCTGATATCACAAAGACCTACTTGCCGCATATATGGACACATCTCCAGCCAATGATGGTAGGAAGATCAAACAGTGATGGTGTCGAACTACTTGTTCAAATAGCAACCCGGATCTCGAAATGGCCAGCGCAAGCAAATCTTTGCGTTAGCGCGGATACAAACTCATCGTCTAAGCTCATGATATCAGATCCCAGGCAGAACCAGCCTTTAGTATTACCAATTCAAGAGAAAGCCGACATGACATCACCTAAACTTGAGAGCTCTTTTCCGGTACGCAACAGCAGTTGTGCCATTTGTAAAAAAATGGGACACTGGGCTAGAGAATGCCCAAAGAATAACTACACAAAGCAAGTACCGCCGCATTACAAGTAAGATACTAGTAAAGATAAGTATGGTAACTTCAAGAAGAAAATTTCGGCCCTCTTGGACAAAAGTAGGAATCACAAGCAACCGCAGCACATAGGGAGACCAGGGAACCGAGGGACCTACCTTATCAACTCAATTGAACCCGAAGAGACATCTGGTGACTATGATAACGCAGATCGTTTTCCAACAGACGATGA